TGAATATACATGCATGTATATTCCACGAACATTCATGTTAGGAATGTTCACCTATGTATATTCCCAGGATATTCCCGCAATGTTCTGTATATTTTCTGCATTCTGGGATATTCATAGAATATCAAATGCTATCTGGGATGTTAGCATTTAATGCCGGATGCTGATAAGAGAGCGATTTAGTTTACAAATGCATATTGAAATTACCACCTTGCCCCAAATGAGGTCATCGTTTGAAAATCTGGGGCTTTCGGGATATTAAGTCCTCGTCTGATGGCGTTTGGTCTAAGCGAGTTAAAAAAATCCTTCACCTTCCGCTTTTTTTGGGCCAAAAATCAACTTTTTACGAGTGTGTTTAAGCTCAATGCAAATCCTTCGGCCTAAGACCTAAATTAGCTCGTTGAATGCCTCGTTTCTTCGCGATCAAAAAGGTGTATTACTAAAACCTCGCGTTAGAATCCCAGAGTTTTTTCCCCAATTCACTCAACAATGATTAGAAACATTTCCATAACTGTGTGATTTTTTCCCCAAGCATTTCGTAGGCAGCGCCAGATGTTTCCAACCGTCGTTTCCTCTCTCATCGAAAGAAGATCAATGCAAAGAAGAATTTACGCACAATCCAGATAATATTCAGAGCATATTGTCGAATCTAGAATTGTCGAAAGCGCAGCATGCTGATGCTAATGAGAATAATCATTGGAGTCTGAGCCATGAGACCAGTTGGAATCAGTCGAGCAGCTGGCAGAAGAAAGGATCCGCAATGTACGGCTATAAAGGCAGTAAAGGGCAGCAAATCGTGCAGGTGGCGCCTCAGAGGATCAGCCTGAAGTTGCGAGCTAGTCAGTGTTTAATGTGATTTTTTTATTAGGAACTTTTGGTTGATTGTTGCGTTTTCATTAGGGCAATCGTACAGTATATTCATGAGCTACACCCAAGCTGAGGACTATCCAGTGGATCTTTACTACCTCATGGACCTCAGTAGGTCGATGTTTGACGACAAAGAGAAACTGTCTCTATTGGGCGACCAATTGGCCACCACTATGCAGCGGGTCACGTCGAACTTTACATTGGGATTTGGGAGTTTTGTGGATAAAGTGGTGATGCCGTACGTCAGCACCCTGCCAGAAAAGTAAGTTGGGCTTGTTTGGTAAGCGCCGCATCAGTTAGGAAGTCTTTTTTCTGATATCTGATCTTGGTTATGTTTTTAGCGTATAATGTGCCGTTGTTTTTTTAAATGTTTTTTCCCAATTTTTATCTGTAGGCTGATAAGGCCCTGTGACGTGTGCGTGGCACCCTACGGATTTCACCATCATATGAGTTTGAGCACTAACACTTACATGTTTTCAGTAAGTCTTTTTTACACGGTCGATTGATACCTTCTTCTCATCTATCTAGTTTCATTCGCTACTGCGTCTAGCTATTCATAGAGACCTCTGGGTATGCATGAGTGTTTGATGTATTAGCTGTGGTAACATTTCCATGAGTTGTGATTATTTTAGGGCAGGGATGAGCAACTCGCCCGCACATGCTATAAGATTTTTTGCATATGCGGGAAAAACATGCACGCACTTAGACACGAAACTTAAAACAACAACAGAATGTATTTAAATTCTTAAAGGTTTTCGCCGGATTTAGCTGTGAAAGCTAATTGTATTTTTGGTGAGTTTTTCTGGCCAAAAAATGTAACCATTTGCTGATGGGTTGAGCATTTTTTTACTGCAATTTTGATAGATAAAATAACTTTGGGAGTGGATAATTTCTGATTGTTTCAAGCAATTTTCTGAGGAGTAAACGTCCAGACTAGGCCTGGGTAACTCAGTGAATTTTTAGGAGTTGGCGCAGTGGTACGCAAATGGTTTGGTAACTCAGTTCCGTTGCTGGGAAAATGTTGATGACTTTTTACCTGTTTTATTTTAAGGGCCATTTATTAATATTTTTAAAATTTCTTCAAAATTTCACAAATTTCCAGTTTTAGCCAAGTCAGTCTTTCTTCTAAATGCTCAATTTTCGAAAGTGGTAAGGTATTTTCCGCCAAAAATTATGTAATAAATTTCGAATCCTTCGTAGCTTTGTAAACACTTTTGAAATCCCTTTCCAGCTTCGAATTTGGAACAAAAATCGAATGATTTTCTATCAAAAAACGGGCAGAATAAGCGAGTGTTTATAACAGATTATTTGGAAATTTCGTCATCTTCATTCCTCTGAAGACTGTAGAGTTTGCTAAAAAAATGTGTTTTTTTTTTAGTTTTGACTGAATTTTTTTCCCTTTACTTTCTACTCAAAAACGCTCTATTTTGAAGTTTCACTTAAAGGTTACAAGATAAATTTATAGCTGTAAACATTTTTCAAAAACTTTTTTCAATGTCGAATTCGGGACAAAAACGAAAATAAATTTCTCCTGTTTTTTCCCAAAACCGATCACAAAATTAAAAGTTTTTAATCGAAAACGCAAAACAAAAACATTATTTTCTGATAATTTTCGTCTTTTCTGACAATAATGGGGTCTTTTCAGCAAAAAATAAAATTAATTTTGCTAGAAAATTCGCCTCATTCATCGGTTTGCAGAGAACTTTAGAAAACCCATTTCAGCTTCGAATTTGCACCAAAACCAAATAATTTTATTCAGTTTTTTGCCGAAAGTAATTAGGATTATATTTAAAAAACGACCAGAGAGCAAAAGTTTTAAAAAAATATTTGGAAAATTTGCCGCTCTCATCGCTCTGAATCATTGTAAAGTTCCAACGCAAAAATCGCATTATTTTTTAGTTTTACATAAAATACTGGCAATTTTCAGGTACTTTCTGTGAAAAATTATAAGATAAATTTTATTGGAAGACTCGCCTCCTTAAGCGCAAAAAATGTTTCAAACATTTTTGCAGCTTCGATAATAATTATTTCTATGTCTTTTTCCAAAAATATTTCCCCGAACTGAAAAAGCGAAAGTTTATAGTCATTTATGTGGAAAACTCTTGGAAACTGGAGTTGCTTCACTTTTAGGTCAATGTTTCTAAACAACACTGTCTCTAAACAGCAAATCTGCGTTTTTCCTAACGTTTTTCTGTAAAATACTGGCAAACAGAATCTTTTATGAAAAAAAATTAAGACATCGATTTTACAAGAAAACTCGTCGACTTTCTTTGGGCTCAGTTCTGTTGCTGGGAAAATCTCGATTACTTTCTTTTAGTTGTTTGAGCCAAGTAGTAAAATGTTACTCAGAAAAAATGTTAATGACCCTTTTTTCCACACACTGATTTTACTGGATAAATGTCCAAACTGTATGATTTTTGTTCGTCAATGTTTTCGTCAAAATTCGGTACCTCGGATGGATTTTCTACAAGGCGGCAAATAAAAAAATGCAAAATTTGGCTCAAAGTTTGGCATGCTCCTAGTTGGACAAAAATGAGAGATTTTATGGATCTCAACTTCAAAAGTTTACAGGGAACCCAACAGCTCGAAACGGTTTTTGATTTTTTTCGCAATATCCTTTGTTTACAGAGTGGTCTCAAAAAATTTACTTGGTCTCATGGTCATCATCATGGTCTTGCAGCGATAAATTTTCTGCTCTTGGTACGATTTTCACAGTCTTGAGCTCATGTTGAAGCTAGAACTTCATATAAAATTTAAGAGAAAATCCAAACCAGAATTGCCCCCGAAATCTGTGATTCTGGAAGATTTTCAAGTGAAGTTTGCTTTCAAATATTTCGTTCATTTATACAACCCGGTATATTTTTTTTTTCCGAAAAGTCAGCATCGGTTTAGAAGAAAAAAAGTCATCTCACAAAATTTCTGCGACATTTTTCGAGATACCAGGGCCCGTGGCGTTGAAATAAAAAAAAAAGGTTTTTTGCCCAGCTAAGAGCGTCTGGAACCTTGACCAATTTTGCATTGTTTCATGTACTAACCGAAAAAGAATTGCACTAAATAACGCTTCAAATTCATCAGTGGACTTTTAATTTGAAGAGCAATTTGTATAAATGTAGTGTTTTGAGTTGTGGCCCGCGCGCAATTTTTGGATGTATAGTTGGTGAAAAAAGGTTGCTTGTCCCTGTTCTTGGTATAGAATCGCTATTTTGGCTCGTTTTTTGCCCCGAAGGGCTGAATCGTTAAAATCACTGAACCTTTGCAATCAATAACCCCAATGGCTATTCTATACAAAAAATCAACTATAAATATTAGTAGTCCAAGAGAATCGAGAATGATATGCGGATGTGTCCAAGCATGAATGCATGTAAGGTAGCTAGAGGATGTTGGGTGCTGAACATAATGCCGGATAGGTTTCTCAGGCCTATAGATCTAGAACGAAACTGAAGTGGCCTGGAAAAGGGGCACAGGAACTTGGGCTTTGATTAATCAGGGGCGGTAAACCCTTGCTTCCTGTTCCCTGCGAGATTCGTTGGCGTTTTGTATAAATCCAACGTAAAATTTCAGTAGCAAAGTGTTAATTATAGGTGTGTTAACTCGTTCCATGCATCTTGATGTTAGCCTTGTTTATGGTTTGTAGTTTAGAGCATCCTTGCGATCAATGCGCTGGCCCCTACGGCTACAAACACATGATGACCTTGTCTCAAAACACCTTTCAATTTTCCGTAAGTGAATGGGCACATTTGCCGCTGACCAATTAACTCCTCCTCGTATTATTATTTGGCTTTAACGTTTTCTATTAAAAAACTGTAACCGCCGATTTTAATACTTTCTAGATTATTTTAACCATGAGTTTTCCCTCGATTACTTTGCGCTCAATGCGAATTTATCCCGATTGGTTTGAACTAACTGGGTTTTTCTTTGGAGGTTTTACCCTTCAGGTGGCCTCTTTTTTTCGGGCATGGTTTGCATGGGGTTTTCCTGTTTTTTAGATGTGAAACCGCTAATCCTTGTACAGCCAGTTTTCCTTGTTTTTAATGCACACATTAGGCAGGTTAATTCATGTTCACGCCCTTTTACTAATTTGTATATTTCATGTATTTATCATATAGTTTAACCCTCTTTGGCCGCCAATGGCTTTTAAATTGCACTAATTTCAAACGAGGAAAAGCTGTTGATTTAAAGCCCGTGTCCCATGCATCCCTTGGTACGATGATACGATGGTACAAAAGTGTTTCTATTGGTTGGAGATCTGTCAATTCGTACGACGACGGACGAATTGACAGATGATACGATGGTGTGTTTCTATTGGTTGGAGGTCTGTCAATTCGTACGACGACGGACGAATTGACAGATGATACGATGGTACGAAAGTGTTTCTATTGGTTGGAGATCTGTCAATTCGTCCGCCGTCTTACGAACGGAGGACGAAGTGACAGATCTCCAACCAATAGAAACACTTTCGTACCATCGTATCATCTGTCAATTCGTCCGTCGTCGTACGAATTGACAGACCTCCAACCAATAGGAACACTTTCGTACCATCGTATCATCGTACAAATAGATGCATGGGACACTGGCTTAAGGGCTTTGGCGGGAGACACTAACCAATTAACACTCACACATGTTTATTTTACATGGATTACATGGCTTTCATCTGTTGTTATCGATTTATCTAGCGAATGGTGAAGCAGGCGAATGTTTCTGGGAATCTGGATGCTCCTGAAGGAGGCTTTGATGCCATTATGCAGGCGGTAGTTTGCCGCAACCAGATCGGCTGGAGAGAAAAGGCCAGGCGATTGTTGGTGTTTTCTACCGATGCCAGTTTTCATTATGCTGGCGATGGAAAAGTAAGAAGTGCTGAAAATAGGTGAACCTTGTAATGAAAGTTATATTTTAGTTAGGCGGCATTGTGAAGCCAAACGATGGAAGTTGTCATTTGTCGCGCGAAGGCTACTACAGCGAGTCGTCCTATCAGGATTATCCTTCCATCGAACAAATCAATTTGGCCGTGAAGAAAAATGCCATCAATGTGATTTTTGCGGTCACCGGTAACACTATTGGCGTGTATGAGCAGCTGGCAAAGCACATAGAAGGCGCATCTGTGGCCAAGTTGGAAAAGGACAGTTCCAATATCGTGGAGCTGATCAAGGAGCAATACGAGCAGATTTCCTCATCGGTAGAAATGAAGCATAATGCTTCCAGTGCTGTGAGCATTCGGTTTTTCACCAATTGCCTCAACGCTTCTGGAACGGTGGTTAATACGAATAAATGCGGAAACATCAAGGTAGGGCTCAGGACCTTAACTTACTGCTGGGTTTCCTCATGTTTTTTTTTATTTATTTCAACTGATTGCAGGTTGGTGATGTGATCAATTTCAAAATCGACATTGAGGTCCTCAAGTGCCCGAAAGAGCGAAAAGATCGCTTCCAAACTATCCAGATCTACCCAGTAGGGATCAACGAAAGCCTGATCATTGACTTGGAAATGCTGTGCGAGTGCAACTGCGAAAAGCCTGGCGATAAGGTAAACCCCCGAGCAGCGCCCTGCAAGTTTGTGCTTGAACTGTTCGATTGTTTGCCAGTATTACCAAGAAAACGCGCCGGCTTGCGGCCTGCATGGTACCTACAAATGCGGCATTTGCGACTGCAACCCGGGAGCATTCGGGAGACACTGCGAATGCAGCGGAGACGAAATAGCGAAGCATCCGAAAACAATCGGCTGCGCTCCTCCAAACAGCACAACAGGAATTGAGTGCTCCGGCAGGGGCACATGTATTTGCGGACGATGCGATTGCGAGTCTAGAGGATTGGGTACTGAGGTAAGCCAAGCAATGGCAAAAAATTACGAAAATTCTCAAAAAACTTCTAGTTGCACATTTTTTCCTCTCCTCCTCACAAAGCTGTTATGTTTAGAAAATCTATGGGGACTACTGTGAATGCGACAACTTCAGCTGTGAAAGACACATGGGTGAACTTTGCAGCGGCGAAACTCATGGAACTTGCGACTGTGGCGTCTGCAATTGTAAGCCTGGATGGACGGGGTCGAATTGTGCATGTGAAGAATCGAATGCTGGCTGCTATCCGCCCGATGTGATCGAAGGGGAGATTTGCTCCGGCCATGGAATGTGTGTGTGCGGGGCCTGCGTGTGCGAAGATACCCAAGAAAGTCGATACTCTGGCAAATTTTGCGAAAAGTGCCCGGTGAGTTTTCATCTGCTCATGATCAGGCTTTAAAAGCCCTGTTTCGGGCGCTAAATGTATGAGGCTGATGGATTATTGGAAGTGGTTCGGAGCGATAGCAGAATTTGCGCGCGATTTCCTGCTGGGGAACATTGTTTAAAATTTTGGATTTATTTTCCTGGGGTTCAGTCAAAATGTGAAATAAAAATGTTCATATCGTTTATTTCATATTACGTTTCGGCGAGATCAGATTTAAAATTCAACACAAACTACAAATAGTTGTGGTTGTCGTTCAAACTATAATAATAATAATTGTTTAAGTAATCAAAGAAAGTGCAAAAAGCGGTTTTTAAGCGCGCGACTTTTGAACCATTGATGCTATTGAAAGAAAGTGTTTTTCAAGTATTCAAAATATTTGTTTGCTTACAAAAACCAAAAAATCACCGACTGTAGCTTTTTTTTTTTTAATTATCTATAATCACTTTAGTTTTGCTTCTGAAGAATCGTACTATCACTTTTTTTGAAGGTCTTTGTACACGTTATAAGTGTGAGTAATAAGCTGAAAATCAGGAATTTTTAATGTTAAACGTTACAGGGTAMATTTTTGTCAGRTAAAATTTCCRAATCGGTTGCTTAATTGCTATAATTTTCTGCAAATTGTATGCGTTTAATTATTGCTCATAGCAATACCAAAAAAATCATAGCAATTAAGTAACTAATGTGGAAATTTTCTCTGAAATTAATTTACCCTTTARCTTYTATCATACAAAACTCCTTTSATTTTCAACTTGAGGTTTAAACAATTGACCCTTCAGTAATAAATATTTCCTTTATTGTACGTTGTAGTATAACTTTACGAGTAAAATAGACCCTCAAAGAAGTCTCCGACGTCGCTAAACAAAACTTATTTGGAATCTGGCAAGAGCTTTTCTTACATAACAAACAGGAATAAACAAAAACATGAATATTTTAATTTATACAACTCATAAAGTGTACAAAGACCTTGAAAAAAAGTAATAGCACGCTTTTTTCGAAGCAAAACTAATTTAATTATAGAACATTTAAAAAAGCGATCAAATCGGCGGTGTTTTTCGTTTTTTGAGTAAACAAATGAATGGATTTTAATTTAGTTGAATATGAATGAATATTTTAAGCTAAAAGTTAAACAACTTATAAAGTGTACAAAGACATTCCAAAAAAGTAATAGCCCGCTGTTTTAGGAGCAAAACTAAATTAATCATAGAACATTTAAAAAAGGGCTCGAATCGGCGATTTTTTTTGAGCTTACAAATGAACGGATTTTAATTTAGTTGAATATGAATGAATATTTTAGGCTAAAAGTTAAACAGCTCATAAAGTGTACAAAGACCTTCAAAAAAAGTAATAGTATCACGCTTTTTAGAAGCAAAACTAAATTAATTATAGAACATATAAAAAAGCGCTCGAATCGGCGGTTTTTTCCGTTTTTTGAGCTAACAAATGAACGGATTTTAATTTAGTTGAATGTGAATGAATATTTTAGGCTAAAAGTTAAACAACTCATAAAGTGTACAGACCTTCAAAAAAGTAATAGCACGCTTTTTTAGAAGCAAAACTAAATTAATTGTAGAACATTTAAAAAAGCGCTCAAATCGGCGGTTTTTTTCGTTTTTTGAGCTWACAAATGAACGGATTTTAATTTAGTTGAATATGAATGAATGTTTTAAGCKAAAAGTTAAACAACTTATAAASTGTACAAAKACCTTCARAAAAAKTAATAGTAGCACGCTGTTTTAGAAGCAAAACTAAATTAATTRTAGAACATTTAAAAAAGCGATCAAATCGTCGGTTTTTTTYGTTTTTTGAGCTTACAAATGAACGGATTTTGATTTAGTTGAATATGAATGAATATTTTAAGCGAAAAGTTAAACAACTTATAAAGTGTACAAAGACCTTCAAAAAAAGTAATAGTAGCACACTTTTTAGAAGCAAAACTAAATTAATTGTAGAACATTTAAAAAAGCGTTTAAATCGGCCGTTTTTTTTCGTTTTTTGAGCTAACAAATGAACGGATTTTAATTTAGTTGAATATGAATGAATATTTTAAGCTAAAAGTTAAACAACTTATAAAGTGTACAAAGACCTTCAAAAAAAGTAATAATAGCACGCTTTTTAGAAGMAAAACTAAATTAATTGTAGAACATTTAAAAAAGCGATCAAATCGTCGGTTTTTTTCGTTTKTTGAGCTWACAAATGAACRGATTTTAATTTAGTTGAATATGAATGAATATTTTAGGCTAAAAGTTAAACAACTTATAAAGTGTACAGACCTTCAAAAAAGTAATAGCACGCTTTTTTAGAAGCAAAACTAAATTAATTGTAGAACATTTAAAAAAGCGATCAAATCGGCGGTTTTTTCGTTTTTTGAGTAAACAAATGAAAGGATTTTAATTTAGTTTGTCTGATAAAAGTATTCAACTTTTGTTCAAGCGTTTTTTTGCACTTTCTCTGATTATTGAAACAATGTGACATCGTCCCGAACAACTTCCAATAATCGTTTAATAATCGTTTTTTGAGCTCCTTTGAGTAAGCGGTTTGTAAACTAGCGACTGAGATTCTCAAATTAATTCCTAATTGTCGCTGAAAATTGTCCAATAATTTTCTGCGGCTTTCAGACATGCCCGGACCGCTGCTTGGAGTATAGAGACTGCGTCCAGTGCCAAATGTACCATACCGGGCCTCTTAAGGAGCCCGAGCTTTGCAGTGCCAATTGCACAAATGTGCCTGTTCCAATCGCTGTCGATAAAGTGGAAGGTACGTGGATTTTTGAGTTAGCCCGTGGCATATTTGGCTGGAAAAATGTTTTGGGGAATTGAAACTGCAAGTTGTTTTGCGGAAAGTTGATTTATTCAAAATGTTCAAGTTTTATCAGCGTGGGGCACTTGTCGACTGGTGGACACCCCGCTGTATTTCCAGATTCTTCCTTTTAAACTAAGACAAGCGGGACTATACACTATACACACTGTCCAGAAGTCGGTGAACGACGCGTAATGTTTGTAGCTACAATTTAACGATGAAATAACTATAGTAATACTTTGAGACTCCTTAAATCGCATATATGAACAGTAAACTTAAGAACGAGCAAACGGCTCCTGCTAGCACTGCGGATATCACAATCATTATGGTGACTGAACTTTTCTCCTCCTCTGTATGCACCCTGAAATTGGAGAATTTGATGTGACTCTCCCTAAACTTTGAAGGTGCTTACGTTGTGGGAACCAGCGTAACGCATAAGCTGATCAGGTAGCCGTTGGAGAAGGAAAAGATGATGATGAACAAAATGTAGGGCACGTCGAAGAACAGAACTGGCAGATTCACTCTGGGTAGGGCGTTCGAAAAGAGGAACAGCGGCAAAAAGGACATTCTAGCCACTGCTATCGCCAGAATAAGCAGCTGGTTATCCGGCTGAAATTGATCGGTGTTTTTCAACATTTCAGTGCTTTTGCTATTGTCTTTACCTGTCTGACTTTGCCGGCCAGCACACGGCCGCATAAATCACACAGACTGGCAATTAGGAATGTTATCACAGGAACAAAGTACATTTCTGGAATACATATGCATGTGTGAGGAAGGATTTTGAAGCAACTTGGAGAAACATCAACTTACCAGCCCAAGGGTCGCCCCCTTTTCCGGTTGTCTCTTGCGATACCACTAGGGACATAAAACCCGGATACACGATGGCAGTCGTTCCCACAACGATGATCAACGAGCTGACGCACATCTTTGTAGATGTAGATGAGGCTCGAATAATGCTCCATATTCTCGGAAAGAACTTTCGGTGAGCGAACGTTACTTCCACGTTGGGATCGTTGCCCACATTGTAGATAAAGTATTGAGAATTCCGTTTCGAGTACCAGTAAACCGCTATTGTGACTAATACCAGCAAAGTACCTGCAATGAATAGTCTTATACAGGGTTATTCGCGCTATACGGCACGGAAGTTTGCGGCTAAACCGTTTGATTTTTAAGAAGTATTATTTTATGAATTGTCCGACGCCTGCCGAGCGCACATTTTTAAAATATTTTTGTAATGTACAGGGTGTCCCAAAGGCTCTAAAGGTATCAAAGTTGCAGATTTTTAAATGTCTAATTTTCACGTGTCAAATGCTTTAGAATTATTTAAGTTATGTAAGCGTAATTTATAGTGAAGTGTAACAAGATATAATATTTTATATCCCAATGATAATAAACTTACCATGTTACAGGGTCTACACAAATTTAAACTAATCAAATAAGAACTTCAAGTGGCTCTAGCTTGATTAATTTAAATACAA